TTAAATTGAAGCAATTCTTACTAATTATTATAGCATTTTTTCAATACGTTTATGCAATAATATTAATATAATTGTTTTTATTTCACAATGTTTTTTGTGGATAACAAAACGATGAAATGCAAAGCAATGCAACGGGGAAGGACTTTTCCTATTTCCTGTTCTCATTTCCCTCCTTTTTTTTTCTTTTCATAAACAGTACAACAGGTTTTGTGGTATCATCATGAACTTTGTATATACAGTATATATAATCACCTAATATATATTTTTGACGATACCGCTATCGTGACGACAATACATATTGTCGTCGCAGTTCTTTTTATTTCTTTTCGTTTCAGTGAATAGCAACTGGACTCTGCTGGACGCATACTCCAACCATAGGACTATCTTCTCTTTCCGGATCTCTTTGTTTACCGGTTGAGACTGTCGACGATTGTCTGACTATTCCGTGCGTATCAGTCGTTGAATAACTATAATTGTAAAAGTTCTGCTGCTGAATCATTGGTGAGGTCATCATCGCAGGCAGATGGGATATACCAGGGAGAATTAGGCTATTATACGATCCAAGAGAGCTTTGTATCAGGGAACTGTCTACAGATTGCATGGACATCGGCCCGGATGCAGACACCCCAGTGGCCGAAGTTGACGGATAGTTTGTTGTTATGACACGTCGATTCCCTAAATGACGAGGCGATGAATCGCACTCCATAGGCTGATAGCCACCAGGGAGACTTGATATTTGCATCGGATTGCCACTGTTGTTACTTCCCTGTCCTGACATGGTTACCAGTCCTAGGACATTAAAAAAATATAATTTTAGATTGACAAACAATGTAAAATTATTTTTACACTAATGCAAAAATCATCCAATTTACTAGCTTTTACAATAGAACGTCATTGAGAAAATTGAAATAAATAAAAAAGATTTCAAAATACTACGAAGATACATTCCAGGCACTGAATTTAATTTGATTTTATTATTGTATATACTAATTATTTATCGATATTAAAGCAATAATTAATTCTATATCTTTATCTTTGAATAATTGAAAAAATAAAAAATTTGAAATAGATTGCAATATTATTAATCTAATTATTAATATAATTATTAATATAATTATTAATAAAATATCAAAATTATAATCAAAATTATAATTGATATAATTTAAATCGAAAGACGATTTCTAGGAGTTGTATTTTTTTATGAATCTATAATATAAATCTATTATAATTTTAATTTATATAAATAAGAGTTATGTAAATATATGATAATTAGTTAAGAATAATCTTAATTAAAATTAAAAATATTATAAAATACTATATCTATTAAAATAGACATAAAAATATGCTTTTTATATTTTAAAATAACCAATTATTATAAAATAAATAATTGAAATAAGTAAATAACAAATAATTAATATAAATTTTAAGTAACATAATATACAAAATCTAATTATAATTCTAAACCAGACTAACATACATATTCTGGTTTTAAAATATTATATAATAATAAAAATAAATATAATATATAAAAATT